AAATTTGCATGAAAACATTCACAGTCAGTTTTGTGAAAGAACATTTTATTTTGCATCCCAGCCCTCTGGTAGTATGTATTGCTGTCAACTGTTACATTTCACTTGGGAAGCTGCCCTTTCAAACTGAGGGCTAGCAAAACCTCAGACTTCTCCAACAAAGAGGGAAGCAGTGCCATGCACTTCAAACATCTTAGAAAAAGGATTTGATCCTAAGTATTTGGAAAGAAAAACAAAACCAAAAACCCACAGCATTTTTACTACATAAAGGAAAAAAATCACCCGTTATATATTGCTGTACAATCAGATACTGTATCTGAATTTGGAAGCTAAGGAAACAAGAAGTGTCTTTCTTCCTATTACTTGTGATTTTACCAAATTCACTATAGAGAATCACTGAGTCATAGAATGACAGAATCGCTCAGGTTGGAAAAGACCTTAAAGATCATCGAGTCCAACCACAACCTGACCATACTGCCCGAACTCGAACAACCCTCTGCTAAATGGTGTCCCTGAGCACCACATCCAAATGGTTTGTGAACACGTCCAGGGATGCTGACTCAACCACCTCCCTGGGGAGCCTATTCCAGTGCTTAACACCATTTATGCAAAGAAATCTTTCCTGAAACCCAACCCTGGCACAACTTGAGGCCATTTCCCCTCGTCCCGTCACCTGTCAAAATGAAGATCGTATCTGATGCTGTACTTCTAGAATTTTATGATAAGCCTCAATCAAGAGAAGTAAACAGACATTCGAATGTTTCCATAGCTGCAGTTTTGTTGCACTGTGTCTTATTTGTCAGCAATAATGCAGTACATAAGGACAAATTCCAGTTTGACTGGAGCAATGAATGTTTTGTATTGCTTTCTGAAGTGGTACATATAGAATCTCAATTAAACAGACACTGTAAAGATAAATTTCATTCCCTGATTTTATGTAGTATAGTTCCTATTACTGCTACGTGTTATTGCTTTCCTCTGAGTAATCCTACCTATGCTGATTGTTAAATGCAAGATGGAAAACACGTCAATAGCTGGTGATTTTTTTGCAACTGAAGAGTGATCTAAAATCACAACATTTGTTCCTGAGTTGGATTCTTTCTAAATACGAGGTATTCCTGAGAGCATTTGTATGAAATGTTTAAGACAACATAAAACATACTGGAATTCATCTGAGAACTATCTTCATAACTTCATACCACAGCTGCAGTTGCCTAATGGTTTCCGTTTCAGTCACACAAATCACGACTTCTGAAAAATCACTTAAAGGTTGTGACTGATATCAATTTAATATTCACATGTCTCAGGGAAAAAAAAGGTGTGTGTGTTACGGGGGACTTCTGAAGTTATTGTAATGTAAGACATGAAAAATGTTTCCACTATTCATCCTAGATTCACTTTGTGCCACACAATGAATATAAACAAACTGATCTGTTTATTCTAAGCTGCCTTTAGCCTTTACATGAGCAGGTACCAACACAGAAAACAGGCACCACCACAGGATCCCAGGACCCAGCCCAGGGCATGTCATGCTCTGTGAGGTGGCACTCCTTGCTGTGATGTCACAGTTGTGGCTTTCACCCCTGTGGCAGCGGTGGGGGCGGTGGCTCAGTCCGCTTGTGGGACGCGCAGGAAGTGAACCCAGAGAGAGCGTTGTGTCTGTCTGGAAGCATCCTGTTGTGATGGAGCGGCTGAGAGCCCTTCGAGGTGAGGTCCCTCCACCTCTCTGGACACCGTGGTGCTGCCCGAGCACGTGTGTGCCTCCAGTGTCTCTTTAGGATGTGCCAGCAGCACTGTCCTTGCTCTGCTGAGTGCAGCCGCCCACTGTGCTTTCCCCAGTACCCCAGCCAGGGGAAGGCTCTCTCCCCTCTCCCCACTGACCACACGCGTGCCAGCGCAGCCCACCCCGTGCTGTGGGGCTGGAGGAGCGTTCCTCCCAGAGCTGGCTGCATGCTCGGCCCTGGCTCCAAGCAACACCGGCGGCAGCTGCTCTGCTCTTTCCTTCCAGGTCTCTTTGCCTGTGTGGGCTGCATGCCCAGACGCACACGTCGCGGGGAGAGAGGCAGGGTGGAAAGCCCTGTCCCCACCTGTGCCGTGACTTTACTGCTGCAGCGCCTGCAAGACCAGGAGGTGAGCTGGGGACGTCCAACCATCGGTCCTTGCCCTGCTTCTTGTCCCGTGGCTGCCAGGCCCCGGCAGCACATCGGCATAGCGATGGGCGGCAGCGGGCGGCTCCCCGGGAACAAGGGCAAAGCAAAACGTGACCTATCCCTGTCCCCAGGGTGACCGAGAGCAGGCGTACTGCGAGCTGGAGCACGTCCTGGGGGAAGAGGACAGCCGCCCGCCGTGCGGAGTGGTGAACCGGCTGCTGGCTGAGGTGTCCCAGGACCTGACAGCAGCCCAGGTGAGGGCTCACTCCCGAAGGCAAAGGGAGCTGCCTGCCCGTGCTGCTGTTCTGCTGGCAGATGGCGCTGGCTTGGCCCTTCCGAGGGAAGGCTCGGGCAGCCTCCTGTGCCGTGTGTCACCAGTGACTCTTTTTCAGGGCGTGACGGACAGCGTGAGGACGGCTGCCAGCAATGTCCTGGTGGCTCTGGCCCGGACTCACTTCTCCATGGTGATGGCCGAGCTCCAGGGCCACCTGAAGGCCACACGGGAGATGTGCAAGGAGTTTGTGCTCGTCACCTTGAGCAAACTCTTCGGCATCTATGGTAGAGTGCCCTCAGCCTCCTGACATCTATAACAACTAGGGAGAGGGGTCTCTCCCCTTGCGCATGATGTGCATAGAGCTGGGGGGTGCAGGGCTCTGCAGCCTCTCCTCCCTCCCTGCTGAGGCTCTGACCGTGCCCTTCTCCTTCCTCTCTGCAGCTCCACAGTGCATCTCTTTTGTGTGGCTGACGCTGGCCGGCCTGTGCAGTGTCGTGGGCCGGGTGAGGAGCGGCCGGACCCTGCGCACTGCTTGTGCTGGTGAGTGCCGGCCCCAAGGCAGGGGGGCTGGGGACAGCCCTTGCACCTCACCCTGCTGCAGACTCTCACAGGCTGCCTTTTCTCTTCTTTGGTTTTGTTGCATTGTTGTTGTTGTTTTCTATAATTAATTACTTGTTTGTTTGTTTGTTTGTTTTCAGTTGTGAAACAATGGATGGATGGCGTCAAGATTCACTTGTCCTCTGGAAAGCACAGCCCCTGGCCTGCCACAGAGAAAGAACAAATGTATGAGAATCTTCATGAGCTCTTCTTCTTTGTGGTCAGCAACTGGCAGGACTGCAAGGAGGAAGAGGTGAGCACTGCTTCATCCCCAGCCTGGCAGATGGCAGCTGGGGCATCCATGTTGGCAGCTCTGTCTGTGCCCAGCAGGCTGAGAGCAGAGGGGTGCTGAGAGGGTGTGGGCTGGCTCTGCAAAGGGCCCCAAACTGGCTCTGTGCTTGGGGCTGGATCTCCCTGCCAGGGAGCAGTCACAAGTCACAGCATTGTGGCAGGGAGAGCCGGGGATGAGGGTATGGGGAAAACCTGCCTGCCCAGGGAGAGCGAGCCCATGTCCTGCTGGGCACAGGGGTGTGGGGAAGGGGAATGGAAAAAGAAAGCCCTCTCTGTAGGAAGGGCAGACGTTCAGTCTTTGATGCTGGGCCTCTGCCATCCCTCTCCAGGACAGACAGGCCGTTCTCGGGGCTGTGACTGCCATGATGACTGTTCTCCTGCAAGAGGAGCTGCCCCGAGAGCACGTCTGGGAGCGGCTCCTCTGGCTCGTGCACCCGTGTCAGGAGATGCAAGACACCTGCAGGGTGGCCAAGGTAAGATGTTGCGCAGGGCTTGGTGTGGACGTGGGGCCCGTGCAAGTGCCACAAGGGGTCGGGGGGTGCAGGGAGGAGGTGGGCGGTCCTTGGACAAAGAAGGAACAGGTGCTCAAGGGAAGTCTGAGGCTTGCTGAGCTCTTCAGTCCAGGAAGGAACAATGTGGACAGGAGCCAGGAGGAAGCCAAGAGTCACTGGTGCCCATCTCCTGGGGATGGGAGGCTTCACCACCACCATGGGGGCTTCTGAATCTGATGGGGGAGAAGAGGGCTGCGGGTGGGAAATGCCTGCAAATGATGCCCAAGCCCCAAGGCTCAGCTAAGAGCAGAGAGCCTCTCTTGGTGCTGCTGGGGGGGACGGACAAACAAGAACACTTGTGTGGCCGCTTCTCCCAGCAGACAAACCACTGGGAAACAGTTCATCTGCTCTGCTCCCTAGTGGCTAGATGTGGCTTCAGCCCTTTCTTCCTCTGCTGGTCTCTTGCAGAGCCTTCGTATGTTCCTGGAGGCCTTACCGGGAGTTCAGTCTGTCATCCCTAAGGACAAGTTTCTGGCCGTCACCAGTGCCGTGTTCTATCAGGTAAGGGGAGCCTATCCTTGTGTGCACAGCAGTTTCCCTCTGGGCTAAGCCTCAGGAGGACTGCAAAGCTCTGAGCCTCTGATGGCTGCTCAGCCTTAGCTCCTGCATGCCTGTGGGGCAGGCTTAGTTTTGTCTGTGTGTCCTCTTCCTGAGAGTGTCAAGGGAGACAGGAGCTGGCAGCACAGTGTCTTTTCCATCCTCAATGCTCATGTGATTTTCTCAAATGGACTTTGTTCCCACAGCTCTCTGATGACGCCAAGCAGCACAGCGAGGCTGACAGAGCAGAGCTGACCCACTGCATCCTGCTGCAGGGTAAGGAGAGGAGCTCTGGCGATGCTTGCCGGTGCTCTGGCCAATACATCTCTCTGTAACCTCACGAATGGGCACGAGTTGCTCACTAACACAGCATGGCATTTCCTTCCTGCAGCCCGAATCTGCCCAGAGGAAACGGTCCTGTTTCTGCAGTCGCAGCTGGGCGATGAGTGGGAGGCTGGATGCGTGGCAGCCCTGGGTCTGCTCGGCGCTCTGGCTCGCTCTGATGGTCAGTACCACGGGTCGGGACTTCCAGGGATCCCTTTTGCCATCTGAGTTGTGCCTCCACGCATGCTTCTGTGCATCTCTTGCAGAGCCTGCAATGACAGAGAAGCTGCCGCAGATTACAGAGGCTGTGCAGCGTGTGTGCAGTGACCCCAGGACCCGGGTGAGCTGTTTGGGGAAAGGAAAACACTGTCAGGGTGGTGATGCTGCTGCCAATACGGCAGGGCCTGGGGTGACCGGGGATGTGCTGGGGCATCGACCACATGGTCACGATGGCTCCTGTCAGGAGAGCAGGCAGAGTGGAGCGGTCGGGTCCCTGTGCTGTGCATGGAAAGTGCACAGCCTGGTGCTAAGGCCTGGCCCTCACCTCTTCTCCTCTGCTTTTGTCATCTCTGCTCATGCCCAAAGGGCACCTGATGAGCAGGTGGCTTCCCTTGGCCTTCAGAGCAGGAAAATCACACCCACAATTGACCCCTGGCAGGTGAGGAGGGCCGTGCTGCACTTCATTGAGGATCTGCTCAGCACTAACGCCTGGAGCTGCTCAGCCTGGGATGTGGTGGGGCACATCTTCAGGGAGTTCAGCCGCACCACGGGAAGAAGGGTAAGGACAGTGGGCAGCATCTTCCTTTGGAAGACCTGTGCAGCTCATAGGCTGGCAAAGAAGCACCGGTGGGGCCACACCTGAGCCTCCTGAGAGGCTCCTGAGAACTGAGAGTAACCAGTGTTTCAACACCACTGTTGTGCAGGCAGCCGGAGACCTTTCCACCCAGGAAGCCCAGGAAGAGGGAGCTCTCCAAGAGCTGTGCATCAACATCCTGGGGTCACTGGATGTCTCTGCGAGAGGGATCTCCAAAGTAAGTCACACTCTGCCCTGCTGCCACTCCTTGCCTTTGCACCACGTGTTCCTCGTCCCCTTCCAACACCTCAGGTCTGTCCTCCAGCGTGCTCTGAAGGAAATTCAGAGTCCTCTTTATCTCTGAGCGGAGGCACGAATGCTGACATGCTCA